AATTTTCCATTGGCCCGAGTGGGTGAGAAGCTATTTTACCATTTTCTAGGTCCTCTGGGCCATTTAAGTCCGGAAGATGCCTTTTACCTGGGTCAACTTGCATATTACTTCTCACTGGGGAAAAGCCCCTCTTGGACCATAAATGAAGCATAATATTATTGTTATTGTTATTACTGTTATTATTATTATTATTATTAGTAGTAGTAGTAGTAGTAGTAGTAGTATTAGCTGCCTGTCCTCAAGACTTGAGGTTGGGGTACAACATAGATTAAAACACATAAAACACAAGACACATTAAAACTATCCTGCATAAAATTAAAATATCCCAGTTTAAAATTCATATTTTAAAATCAACTGGGTAGGCCTGCTGGAAGAGGTAAGTCTTTAATACTGTTTTTAATTCAAACAGCACATTTAGCCACTGAATCTCTCCCAGCAGGTCGTTCTACAATATAGGGGTGATGGATAAAAATGTTCTCTTGGTGACAGTTACCAGCCTAGTCCTGGCTGACTGGAGGAAATGTCTGCCAGAGGACCTGAGCATACAGGGCAGATTATATGGGACGAGGTGATCCTGTAGGTAACATGGACCCAAACCTTGTAGGGCTTAAAAGGTAATATCTGATACTTTGTAGCTTTCCTGGAAACTAACAGGCAGTTAGTGGAGTGATTTTAATAATGGTGTTCTATATATACTCATGTATAAGTCTACAAATTTTAGTTTAAAAACTTGGCCCAAAATACCAGAGTCGACTTATTCATGTGTCAGTGTAAGTACTGTACTTTAATTCTTATTTAAAAAGGAAACCATCCCCTGGTGAAAGGCAAGAGCATAATCTGTTCTGAAAGTACTGATCCTGCTCTACTCTCTCATCCATTCAGTCTTCAGTGTAAATACAGTTATCTCTGTCAGAATTTTGTAAATTCTTTGGCATTGTTTTCCTTTGCTTCATCCTTTAGATTCTTTGTTACCTGCTCCTCAGTTTTACCCTCGACTTATTCATGGGTCATAACAAAATCCATAATTTTGGTCCCAACCCATGAGGTTGACTTATAGTTGAGTATATACGGTAATATGATCAGTCTTAGTTGTACCAGTGATCTGAATTAATTGAATTTTCTGAACTTGGTACAGATGTAGCCCAATGCACAGAACATTGCAAAAGTCCAGCCTTGAGGTTACCAGTGTGTACGCTACCATCTTTAGGTCTTTCAGTTCTATATTCCATGGCCGGGGGCGTGGGAGATCAGAGAAAAGGGTTTTTTTATTGTTCTGGTGGTGTGGAGGGTCACAAAAACAGTGTGAGTGGCTCCGTACAGGCTACAGGCTGCTGCACCTTTACCTACACCTGGATTACAGCATCAATCTGGATTAAATTATATTTTTGTTATTAATATGTGTCACAGACACACAGATAATATTTCCGAAATGGGATCATGTCTCCTTAATCCAAAGCCATATTCTCAGAGTGTGCTCAGCTTTGCTTCCCAAATATCATGGTTTGGGTTACCACATACATTGCAAAGTCAATGAGAGACCATATATAATTACGTTTTATCAAACATTTTCAATTTTGTGTTTGTCTATAGATGCTTTACAGGTGGGTCTTGGAGAAAGAGAGATCAACTATGTACTTCAGCATCGACAAATCACTTCCCAACCAAGAATAACTGTGAGTTTAAATGAGGAGTCACAGACAGCTTCTGATGGATACATTAAACAAAAAGAAATTGATAATGAAGATGTGTGCCCTATTTGCCAAGAGACATTACTCAAGAAAATGCTTCCTGTCACTTACTGCAGGTAAGTTACCTTGCTGGTTTATAAAAGTCAATTTAGTGGAAAAGGCAAGACCATAAATTGCCCAAACTTAACAACTTGGTAGAGGTCTGAGCTTTTCTGCTTAATTTACTGTTCTATGCTGTTTAAACCAGGAGTTCTTTCTTTCCATATGGATCGTCCAAATTAAACATACTCCTAAACTGCCCTTAACTATCAGCCATTTGATCTCTTTTTTAATATAATAAATCTCTTATTTATAGAAGTCAATGAGAGTGTTTTGCTTAACCAATGCCTGAAACAGATGGGCAGATGGATGGCTTCTGGGTGCTCCAGGGGTGTGGTGTTCAATTGACACACACACACACCCCAAATGCCCGTAAGCTGCCCCCAAAGGAGCTGATGTTTTCCTCTCCTTGCTGCAGTCCATTTGGGGCCATGCAGGAGGCGCTCTTACTGCCATGGTATGTGTTTGCCACAGCCCTAGAGTAATCTGGCCGCTCCTGGATGCCCTTCTGTTTTGCCCCAAAGTTGCCAGAATATAAAAGCCTGTGAGATATGTGTTTTTAATATCCTTACAGATATGAATATTTTGTGCCTTGAGGCAAATACAGATATATTGAGGGGAGACAGTAATATGGTCTATGTTCCCACAGATGGCACTACCTTTCTCGGGTGGTGGGATTGCCTGATCCTGTGATGCAAGAGGCTATGCTGCTGGCAGGGTCTGCCATGTCAGAAAGGAAATGAGGGAGAAGGGAAGAATTCTGGAATATCGTTTCTTACAATGATAAATACAATGTTTTAGCCAAGATGTTCATATGTTTACTCCCCCAAAATTATTCCTAAAAGCTATGTTACAGGAAGATACTAATGTAAGATTATGTACAGGAGCTGATAACTGGATTTTTTGGTCTCAGTTTCCTTTTTATGGGAATCTTTTATCTCTGCTTGGTACTATGGAAAACAAAAAGAGAAAATACAAGTTTACCTCAGTTAACAACGTAGATCAATTCCTGGGTATGACATCTTTAACAGAGACTTTGGCAGCAGAAGCAAAAATAACATGGAAAGAATAGGGAGAGGTTCCTCCAACAGAGGGGAGCACTTCAACAATTTCCAGCAAACTTTTTATTCAAAACTAACAGTTTGAATATATGGAATAAAACAACCATGTCAGGAAGGTCTTGCATAGATAAAAACATTTTGAGGCTTCCAGAGGCCACTCAAAAGTTTCTTCCAGGAATTTTATTTTCTTTCACTAGCCTCTGCTTTTCTTGTGATTTCCATTTTAGTGGCTAAACCTATAGATCTATGCTTTTTAGCATGCTGGGGGTGGCTTATGAGGAAGGCATACCTGCTTTCCCCTTTTATTTCTGTTTTGCTGTCGATGCATGCTCGGTAGAGGATCCTGGAGGCAGCTGCTGTTTACCTTGTCTGTTGTAGGAAGTGCAGTAGCTTCAAGTGCAGTAGAATTCCATTCTTTCTCAGCTCAAGCTTTGTTGCATTGTTTGCTGCAGACATGCTGCTGCAATCTGATACTGAAAGTCTGTTTCTCCAGTGCTCTTTCAGCATTCTCCCAATGCTGATTCTGTTAAATATTGTTGACCAACTATGAAATAATGAGATGAGAAAATAACAAATGGGTTCAACAAGGGCCATCTTTATTGACCTGAAAATCTATTTATATATTTAATGCCTGGACGGATCTCCCAAAAGGGGTGGGGGAGGAACCTGATGCAGGTGCAGCTGAGGCCCAGATGTCCGTCCTTGATATTTCCCTAGCCAAGCCTTGGGTGAGACACCAGACTCGGAGGACAATCCAAACAAATTGGTTTGGTTTGGAAGGCCAAACATGGAAGACTCCCTCCCA